TCGGTGATTCGGTTCCTCACAGTGCGCCACACAAATCCTCACTCAGGACGAGTTTGGACTTGACTTCCCTCCATTTTTGTACCCTGTCCGTCTTCGGGCGCTTGGTCTTCATAGGAAACGTTGAGTCTGCTTCATAAATATCGGCTTCGCTAGGCTCCGTAGTGATCGCTCCATTAGCTCTAGTGCAGCGCCATTGAATGTGTAAAACTTCATGTCTACAGTCCCGTTTAAATTCATTAATCGAAGTAGATTTACTGTACTGAAGTAAACAATCTCCTCGGGCCGCTAAACCTACTTTATGCCGTATAAGTGTACACGGGGGCAGACGTCGTAGATCTATAGTTGTGCTCTAAAAATTACGCTTCCAAAGTTTTATTGTCTTACCTTATCTGTAACGTCAAACTTCGTAATTTTGACAAAGATCAGTAAACATGTGCGAAAATAAAAAAAAGGAATATGCTTATTTTATTACCGAAAATACGAGGATAGCTGAGAATACATGTACTTACATGCATGTAGTCCATAGGTACAGCCGGCGATGATCAATGGCGCGAACTCCATTGTCTCTCGAGACAGAAGGGTGATACATACAGGCACGCTGTAGGCGGGGCACTAATCAACTCATGTCGCCGCCCGTGCATATGAATGGCTAACGCGACCGATCACTCGAGAAATAACGCGGGTGACGCGTGGCTACCTATGAGGCTCCGGCCACACAAACTGCGTTACCGTAACGCGGTATCGCGCCGCTAACGCGGCCTCCGTCAAATGTAACGCAGACATGACTGTACTAAAGTACTAGTAAGCTATTGTGAACTTCGACCTTGGCATATTTTACCTTTGCAAACGTTGCTTTCGTTGGTGATGAGGGAGACCACCTTGGTGTTTTTCAAACATAAACCCATGCTGTAAGGTGCAACATGCAAGCTCTACCTGTACATTGTTGTTAGATACACTACGTGGAAAGACAGATTTCCGTCGTGGGAAGCTGTGTACACGAGCTAGGAAATCCCTAGTTTCCTCGGGTTCCCACGGGTTTTCAAAGTGTACATGCGATGTGTCCTCTGTTGGAAACTTGTGGACAGCTTTGGAAACGGACCACTTTCGTGTACATGACGTGTCCTACGGTGGAAAACTGTGTGCACGCGGTGTGGAAATTTGTGTGTACTCGTGGAAACTCGAGATGTGTGCCTTTGTTTGGGAATGACTGGTGCATAATTTAGCGGCAATTATCACGTAATTATGTAATTATCTCCCCATTTGGCCCAACCAAGTACGCATGCGCTGGCCCGCCCAATGCACCCGGGCACGCCTCCAATATACCTTTTGTAATGGAAAAAAGCATCATGGCCCGGTATCCCCTTC